CACATTCAGGGTTTAGTTAAGCCAGCCATAGACCTCTCCTCTCTAGATGTGGATGTCTTACACAGCATCTTCTTTCAAAAGAAGGCTGTTTCATTGACACTGAAAATTTGTTGTTTAGTGTGGCCCCTTCATCAATGATACTAGCTAGATCTGGATAACTTAGTACAGCTTCTCCATCTCAGCACTTGCTGATTCATCTTATAATTTAATGTTACAGTGATGGCTTCTTTCCTTCCACCTCATAAACCAACCTCTGCTACCTTCCAACTTTTCTTCCAAAGCTTTCTCACCTCTCTCAGACTTTGCAGAATTAAAGACAGTTAAGATCTTGCTCTAGATTAGGCTGGAGCAAAGGGAATCTGTCAAAGCATGAACTCACTGAACCACTTTGTCAGAAAGTCTGGACAGATTTCAAAAGCACTAAATAATAATGGTATTGATCTATTCTTGTCTTCTAAGCCTGTTCCTCTGAGTTTCAGGGTTCAGCAGAAATATGTCAAAACTTTCTCCATATCCACAACAAGGCTGTTTGCTTTCCTATCATTTGTGTATTTACTGGAGTAGTGTTTTAATCGCCTTCAATTTTTCCTTCACATTCTCAATTTGGCTGTTTGGAGCAAGAGGCCCATATTTCAGCCTATCTTGGCGTTCAACATGCCTTACTCACTAATAATCATTTCTAGCTTTTCACTTAAAGTGAGAGATGCACATTTCCTCCTTTCACTTGAATACTTCAAGGTTACTGTAGTTGGCCTAACTGCAATATTGTTTGGCCTCAGAGACTGGGGAGACCCAAGGAGAGGAAGAGGGAAATGGGGGACTGGCTGACTGGTGGAGCGGTCAGAATGCACACAACATTTATCAGTTAAATTTACCATTTTGTATGGGCATGGTTCATGGCACCCTAGAACAGTTAGAATAGTAACATCAGAGAACACTGGTCACACATCACCATAACAAACATAATAGTCACGAAAAAGTTTGAAATGTTGTTAGAATCACTAAAATGGGATACAGACATGAAGTGAGCAAATACTGTTAGAAAACTAGCACTGGGGCCAGGCACATTGGCTCACGCCTGTAATCCCAGCAGTTTGGGAGGCAGAGGCAGGTGAATCATGAGGTTAGGAGATCAAGACCATCCTGGCTAACACAGTGAAACCCCATCTCTACCAAAAATACAAAAACTTAGGCATGGTGGCATGTGCCTATAGTCCCAGCTACTCAGGAGGCTGAGGCAAGAGAATTGCTTGAACCCAGGAGGCGGAGGTTGCTGTGAGCTGAGATCATGCCACTGAATTCCAGGCTGGGCCATAGAGTGAGATTCTATCTCAAAAAAAAAAAAAAAAAAAAAAAAAAGAAAGAAAAAAGAAAATTGGCATGGATAGACTTGCAGGATGCAAGGATGTAGACTTTCAGTTTGTAAAAAATGCAACATCAGTGACGCACAGTAAAGCAATACACAATAAAACAAGGTATGTCTGTTTTATTTATTTTGTATGCACACAAAAATGTGTTTATGTATCTATGTATCTACATGTGTGTACATACATACACACATTTTTGTGTGCATATATATTTTTATCATCATTATTGTCATTGCAAAAAGCTGAGAGATCATATAAGATCATAGCTTTAAGATTTTAAACAATAGAACATATTAACATTTATATACTAATACCATAGATACTTCTCATCTTCTTGCAAACACGTATTTTGAACCCTTCCTCTATTGGAGATAGGAATTTATCCATATTTCTTCATTGAATTTTCAATGTTACTGGTAACTTATTTTCAAGTTAATAAAGAGCTCTAACTTATAAGTGGTACGAGTTCACAACTTTGGCACAAATACAGTTGAAACGTATTTAAAAAATCAGTTAATGGTTTCAATATAAAAAGTTTTACTTTTTTGTTAACAGTTTAGTTAAAAACTAACCGTTGGCTTTATAAAATTTATAAACAAAAATTATATTTAATAGTTATAAATTTTCCTTTAATGGTAAAAAAATTATGAATGCAACTTATTTATTGGCATCCATAAAGCAAATAACATCGTGCTGAACATAGGAAAATAAACTGAGCCATTTATTTTGTATTTTTCTTTCTTAATATATGTACAACATAGAGTAATTCCAAAATTAAGCCAAAAAATTCATACACAAAATTCATAGAAAACTTAGGTTTCAAAACGTTTCCATGAATAATATCTATTGTTTGGTATACTGGCTTTCAGACATTATATTTTAATATCTATAAATACTTATGTGGCTGAGCACACTGGCTCACAACTGCAATCCCAAAACTTTGAGAGACTAAGGCAGCAGGATTATTTGAGCCCAGAAGCTTGAAACCAGCCTGAGCCACCTAGCAAGACCCTATCTCTAAAAATGTTGTTATGAAAAATTAGCCAGGAATGCTGGAGCATGCCTGTGCTGCTTGGGAGACTGAGGCAGGGGATTGCTTGACCCTGGATGGGCAAGACTGCACTGTTTTACAGTCGTGCCACTGTTCTCCAACCTGGGAAGAAGAGTGAGACCCAATCTCAAAAACAAACAAACAAAAACAGTTATTACATCTATCATCCTAGAAATTGGTATTCTTTCTTACCAAAGTAGGCTAAGTAACAAGGCATTTTGTGCCATGTAGCTCATTCACGCAGGTTGATGATACTTTAAAAATAAACAATCCATGAATGGGTCATTGGTGCTACTTCCTGAAAGCAACATTCTTTTAATCGATTATAGTTGCTGCACGGAAAACATATTTGGAAGTAAAGTATGTAAGACTATGGATGTATATACTCATTTTGTACTAAAATAAAATCTATATGCAGCGGATCAATATTTCTGATAGCAGAGAAACTTTGGTCTTGGGCATGAAGACTACAAGCCCTTCAGGGCACACACAGCTAACATACAAAAGGATGGATATTTATTTTATTCTTGATTTAAATTCAACCAATACTCTTATTGAAATACCTTATCAGTTTAAATAATTTTCAATAAACTATAAGATAATTTAATGGGGAAAGAATAATAATTTATTGTGCATGTGTTATGCACTTTACCATATTAATTTCATTTACTCCTCTAACAATTCTCTCAAACAAATTAATTACCATGATTTTTAATGTTGAAAAAACAGGATCACTGCTGTAAAAAAAAAAAAAAAGGTATCTGGTAAATGCAGAGGAATCATCTTTACATGGTTGTTCAAAGGCACTATAGGATGTTGAGCTCATAGCTAACATATTTAAAGGCTAATAGCAAAAATATCAATAATAGTTTGATCTACAAGTCTTAGGAAGGTGACACATTCTAAACCACCAGAAGTGGCCTGCAGCTTCACAGGACACATCCACTACTATTGGAAAGGAGGTAAACTACCCACTTCCCTATTTGTTTTTCACAGTTGTATCTGTCATTGATGCAGAGTTTCCATGTACTCCTCCTGATCTGTTCTCCACCTTCTCCCCTCATCTGCAAGACTGGACTATAAGGATACATTAATAAGCCTTTTAAACTTCTGGTGTATGATTGGATTTGGCCAACAAGTAACACCAGCATTGAGAGTAATACAGAGCAAAGAGACTCTTTAAGATCAGCATGGACAAACTGCTTCCCTTAATTAAACGTCATACCTCCTATCAAGTAGTCTTTTCCACTCTAGGCTCAGGAAACTGAACCTCTTCTCACACTCTTTTGTCTATAAGTGATAAAAGCTCCACTCTTACTGTCCCTTATGGTTTTGCTATTTATACTAATTCCCTACTAAACAATCCCCTTATTAATATTTTTTCAATTTATGCAATATCAATACCTGTTTCTTGCCAGGATATTGACTGATACAACATCTGCTGAAATCTTGAACTTCGTGTTGAATAGAAGATGGCTATCAGAGGAACATCAGTAAAAAGACTCTTTCTAGTTTTGTGTTGTTCTTCCACATAATTAACCATGCTTAGTTTTTCTTTTTCTTTCTTTCTTTTTTTTTTTTTTTTTTTTAGGGAAAGAGGATATGTTTGATAAAAACAGTATTGCTTCAGTTCAGATAAAACTATAATGAAAAATAATGTTTCTAATGGAAAGACAATATTCCATATGAAGTGTTTTTAAATGTTGAACTCACAGATTTATCTAAACATTCTTAATGTTAGAAAATTTATTTTTATAATAATAAAGGCCTGAAAATATCAATTCTTATTGATGTACCTGTCTAAAATTGTAAACATCTCCAAATCCTTATTCCTACAATATTTAAACACGGGAAAGTCACTGAAAACAAAGAAACCAATACTTTTTTCCTGCATCCCACTCCAATTACAACTTCCTGAAAGAGTTATCTGCAATCGATTTCCCTTTTTGACATTTCCCATTTGTTCTTTAAAAATATTGACATCAGAATTCTGCCCTCGCACTTCATAAATGTTTTCTCTCTAAGATCACCCAAAATCACCTTTTTGGCTTTTTCCAATTTATATATTCTTTAGGCCCTCTCTTATTTAATCTCTCAGAAACATTTCAACCTGTAAATATTTTGATACTAAAGGATTTCTGACTTTAAGCTCATCAGCCTCTTGTCACCCCACTATGTCTAGGATCACATCTTCTCAGTGTCTTCAATGTCTGCTTTTTCTTAACAGTCTTTTAGCTGTTCCTTCAGGTTCTGTCTGCCACTTTATCTCTTTCCTCTTTTATCTCATCCATACCCACAGCTTGAATAATCACGTGCTGATGGCGATGTATCCCTATATTATCTTATTTTAGCTCTCTCTTGAGCTTTATATGTACATTTCCAAACACATTCTGAACATTTCCATGTGCATGGGTCCCAGGTCTCATAAATACAACACATCTAAAAACGAAGCCACATCTTCCCACTATACATCCGTCTCCTCTTATTTTCCCTAACTCAAGCAATGGCACATAAGCTGTCCTGATGCCCAAATCAGAAACTTCGAAGTCATTCTTTTTTTTTTTTCTTTTTAATTACCAAAAACCACTCAGACTGCATCTTCTCCGTTTTACTTTCTGGAAAGAAGAGAAAAACATAATCAATGGCAAATGGCAGTTGGAGCCAAGCAACACCAAGAGCTGGCTTCATGCTCAGGAGAGAATGCTGCGCCTCCTCCTTGTGCCTCTGGTGCCCGACATGTGCAGAAAAACTTCTCCAGAAGCAAACCATAGACATGATCCCTGAAAGCACGGTCTTGGAAATCACTGTTGATTCCTTTCCTTCCTCATCACCTGACCATCCCTTAGGTCCATTCATAATCTTTACCTTATACTGTTATCTAATCAATTGCTTTGTATTTGAACTGTGACATCTTCTAACCAGTCCCCCTTCTTCACTCTAATCCATCTCATATCCAACTTAAGTGCAGTTATGTGGCCCTGGCATGGTGGCATGGTGGTGAGGATTCTGCAAGATCTGGGCCCTGCTTCTCTCTCCAGGATTCTTTCTATATTTTCAACCACAGACTCTGCTCTAGCAACACAAAATATGCTTCAGTCTAACAACTTGTTCTCTACTCCTGGAACAATCTTCACCTCACTTGAATCCAGATCTCTGCTTCATTTGCCCAATGACTATTTGTCTTTCTGAATTTGGCTGTGTAATCACTCTTCTTGTTAAAACGTAAAGACTCCATAGCACTATATAGAGAGAGTTCCATATGTGCCTTCTAACACGGGGTGCTTGACTCTGTCACAGGACTGGTCATCCAGCATTCCTGACTTTCACTGACAAGTCTCCTTCACTAATGTACAGCACATCTTCAGCCTGATCTCAGACAGCGTCATAACCATCTGTCTCGTCAATGTCTACATGGCCTTAGTTAGGCTCTTAACGAGGTTTGCGAATAAATGAATGAATGTGAGTTTACAAACCGTCATTCTAAACCAATAGGGGAGCCCCCAAAGACAGTTATGTCTTCAAATGCTGGGTGAATTATGACCACTGAATTCCTCTATTCTGTAATTTTGCTCTAGCATTTTGTCCCCAGTCTATCCTAACATGGGCTTATTTCCCTTTTGGAACAGAACTTCATAGGACTAGTCAAACTGCAATTTTCCAAGAAATGCCTAAATTTATAAGGACATGGTACTTTCCTAAGCTTCTCTTTAAATAGCAGTTGTATTTGAAGCCAAATATCATATGACTATATTGAACTCAATATGATTTCTATCAGCCAAATTACATTAGCGCTCTGATGGGAACAGGGATAAGTAACCTGGCAGACTTTCTCTTTTCTATTCACCTCCATTTGCTTACCTTTCTTCTAAGAAAAGATTATAAGACCTGACAGGTTGGCTGTATCTCAGAGAGAATATATAGCTAGGAAATAACGGGAAGTTGGAAAAACAATTTATTACCCTGAACCAGGAAAAGAGTTTCACTGATTTAAGGCTAAAGCCTTTAAACATCCCAAGGCATCTCTCTCTTCTTTCATTCACCTTTACTCCTTTTCCAATTGTTCCAGATTTCTGGAAGTCCAGACTACATAGGACCCTAAAATAACCCGCCCTTTTGCCCTTCCCTCTTTCCCTCTTTCCCTCCTTTCTTCTTTTCCTCCTTCCTTCATTCCTTCCATCCATCCATCCTTCCTGCCCTCCTTCCTTCCTTCCCTCCCTCCCTCCAGCTGTCCTTCCCTTCCTCCTTCTTTCCCTTCTTCCCTCCTTCCTGCCCTCCTTCCTTCCCTCCTTCCTTCCCTTTTTCCTTCCCTACCTCCCTCCTTCCTTCCTCCTTCCCTCTTCCATTTCTCCCTTCCTCCCTTCTATCTGTCTCCCTTTCATTCTTTTTTTTTTTTTTTTTTTTTTTTTTTTTTAAATAGAGTCTCACTCTGTCACCCAGGCTGGAGTATAGTGATATAGTGGCACGCTCATAGTTCACTGCAGCCTCAAACTCCTGTGCCCAAGCAATCCTCCCACCTCAGCCTCCAGAGTAGCTGGGACTACAGGCATGCACCACCACATCTGGTTATTATTACTGCTACTTTTCTATAGATGGGGTCTCACTATGTTGCCCAGGCTGACTTTTAACTCCTGGGCTCAAGGGATCCTCCCCCCTCAGCCTCCCAAAGTGCTGGGATAACAGGCCTCAGTTACTGCACTCAGCCTCTTTCAATGTTCCCCTCTTATAGTTACATTTCAAACTGTTTTTTACTAATCAAAAAATTATGATCATTAACATAGAGCTTATGAACCTGTATTACTGAAGCCCTCATCCAAAAATACAATATGGTATAACAAAATACAAAGTAAGTAAGGAAGCAAACAAATAACTAAATAAAATGTTAAGGGTGTTTGGACACAACCATGATTATATACTCACTTTAAGATGTGTATAATTACTTCTTACCTAACATTCTTCCTTCCCTACCTGAAAGTGGCTAATTACAATAAAAAGCAAAGGTACTGAATACAGAGCTTGGGATTTTACACGCATTTGCTCAAATCGTCACAGCCTTGGTAGGTTAGGTATTACGGAATTCATTACATGGATGACAAAACTGAAATTGGCAGCACTCAACTTCCCCAAGATTGCACACATAGTAAGTAACAGGGATGAAATTCAAACCCATGTCTTTAGGATGTGTTATCCCATGAACTCTTAATCACATGACATTTACTCGGGTAATTATCCAGATCCAACCCCTAACTATGTATACCCTTTAAAACAAATATTTGTCAGCTGATCAGAAAGAGAGTATCTATCAACATGCCCTTTACTTAAGCCATCATCAAGAACCTTTATGATAGGAAGAAATTCTAACCACATTTCTTCAAACCACTTCCATAAACACATGTTAATGAGATAAAAACACATAAGGGGATGACTCAGATGTAAATAGAAGAGGAAAGAGAAAGGTTTAACAGAAAGTAGTGCGACCACAAACGGAGTGTTGCTAGAAACGCTGAGCAAAGGACAGACGCCTTGCTTTGCAACATAACAGAAAAGGCGACGTTATCGACGATACAATCACAGTAAGGTTCCAGGAAACTTCATTTCATCTACCAAGCTTTCTCTCTTTTTAAAGTGGCATTCCTTCCCTTGCACACGGAGTTAGTGAAAATAACTCACAGCAGACGAGTTCATCTTCATTCAAGTGGCAGTCGGGCACCCCATCGCATAGCAGGAGGGAAGGGATACATTCGTCTGTAGAGCACAGGAACTCCATGTTACTACAGAGTGGAGGGGTGGGGCTGAGAGGACAATCCATTTCATCAGATCCGTCTATGCAGTCTTCATGTCCGTCACATTTCCCTGAGAGAGGGACACAGTGGAGTGTGTAGATACAAGAAAACTGATCGGCTTCACAGGGTGACGGCTGCACTGTGACAGGACCTAAGAAAGAGAGCAAGTCAAGTCGTTTCAGCTTTAGGGAAGTTACCTCCATCTGATACTAAGACATTGCAGGTTGCATTGATTATTGTACAAAATGAATCTGGTTAATTTAAGTAAATTAATTTCAAATTAGGAATAATATGAAGCCTATAAAACATGCAAACTTGATTCCAGAATATGTCTTATCATAATCTCTCAGGAACAATATTAACATTTATTTTAAATTCAATAATTTGGGGGAATTATTAATTTTTAATAATTCCCACAAATTACTGAATTATTAAGTTATTTTAATAATTAAAATGATTATTTGATTATTGGTTGCACTGATAACTTCTTTAGTGGTGCTTTCTGAGACTTTGGTGCACGCATCACCTGAGCAGTGTACACTGTAACTGATAGTCTTTTATCCCTTACCCCACTCCCAATCTTTCCTCTCTGAGCCCCCACAGTCCATTATATCATAATTATGCCTTTGCATACTCATAGCTTAGCTCCCACTTATACATGAGAACATACAATATTTAGTTTTCCATTCCTAACTTACTTCACTTAGGATAATGGCCTCTAGCTCCATGCTAGTTGCTGCAAAAGACATTATTTCATTCCTTTCTATGGCTGAGTAGTGTTGCATGATGTATATATACTACATTTTCTTTATCAACTTGTTGGTTGATGGGCATTTAAGTTGGTTTCACATCTTTGCAACTGTGAATTGTGCTGCTATAAACATGCATATGCATGTGTCTTTTTTATATAATGACTTTTTTGGGGGGTAGAAACCCCAGTAGTGAGATTGATGGATCAAAGGGTAGTTCAACTTTTAGTTCTTTAAGCCATCTCATTCTGTTTTCCATAGCGGTTGTACTAATTTGCATCCCCACCAGCAGTGTAAAAATGTTCCCTTTTCACTACATCCGTACCAACATCTATCATTTTTTGCCTTTTATTTATGGTCATTCTTACAGGCACAATATTTTTTTAAAAGGCATCATTGACATGAAAACTGACACCTTCAAATGAAAGAATATATATTGATTTCTATGCCTTCAATTGCACTACTAAATCAGATTGTGCTAGAGAGTAAAGATACTTCCACTTAGTAAATTAGAAACTTTGGAAAGGTGCACTTACGATTTTACAATTTAAAGGAATTGTTACAATATCAGAATATCGCTTATGTACTGCCTGTTAGTGGCCTCCACCCAGGGAATCTGGCTCTTGAGACCCTGGGCAGGGCCGGGCCACAGATGTAGAGATCTGCTATGTTTTGTCACACTGCACTCTGTCCTTGAATCTTGCTTACTGGTCAAAGGCCATGTGCTGCCATATTTAAAGCCAGATAAAATCATAGTGTAATCTAAGATGTTGCACTAGGAATCTTGAAGATAACCTGCTTCAAACCCAACCAACTCATTTTGCAAATGAAGACACTGAAGCCCACATATTTTAAATATCCAAATACACAATGCTAGTGTAATAAACTTTTATTACAGAAAACTTTTCTGCAGCAAAGGTTTGAGTCCACATTAAGTCAGACTTAAAGCAGAGGCTGAGTGTTGAGTGTTGACCATCATATTTCTAAAGGTGAGGAACGTATGTGAATATATAGGACTGCACTAATTGGTGATTAGTTGGGGGGTTCTTATACTGTGTGTTGTCTCTGTGCTAGTTAATGAGGGATTCATCAACATAATACGGAAAAAATACAGTGCCAGATAGTAGTGGAGGCCAGTTCAGAAATGGTTTATTTTTTCTTGACATTTTAATCTATTTTTACATATGGGTTGTATGAGAATAATTTATATTATATGTAAAGATGATACAGCAAATTCATTTTCAAAATTAGATTTGAAAGTCCCTCT